CCGCCAATATTCGTGCCACTTTCGACCGAGGTGAAAACATCATATAACTTACTCAATCACCTGGAAAAATTATTTTTTTTAAAGTTAAAAATAACCGCTTTTATGGGCGTGACACTCGGAAAAATTTTCGCGCCTCCGGCAGCTCCTGCGTCAGGGTTTCACCTTCTTAAATTAGTAATTTGAACCAATATAACAATCCACGCGCCGCCACTGCCCGAATGCACCTCCCTGAAACTAATCCTGGCGGCGCCCATGCTCGGTAGTGTTCAAATTTTTTTGAAATCCGTATTGATTTTCACTAATAATTGAGTTTTCTGCAGCGTAGACTGTAACTTTTGACCACAGATTCTAAAATCTTTGACATGCAGGGCAGTAGAGATACTGGCCTATAATTTTCGGGAAGGTTTTTGTCTCCCTTTTTAAAAAGTGGCTTAATTTTGGCAATCTTGTAGCAGTCTGGAAACACACCTTTTTTCAAAGACATGTTTACAAGATATGTGAAAGGTTGCTTCAGATAATGTATGTTTTGTTTTATCACCGTTATGGGAATATCATCATATCCAGTGCTGCGTTTTGGTTTAAGCTTTTGAACCGTGTGTATAAGGTTCTTTTCCGATATTTCGAAGAATTTAAAACAATGCAAATGAGTCGTTGGAACGTTTCTTAAATAGTCATAAAAATGTACAGTATTTTCCAGATTAGCTGTTAATCTTTGAGGAACGCTTGCAAAATAATCCACAAAAGAGTTTGCCACCAAAGAAGGGTTTGTTAGTGTTACGTCATTTACATTCAGTTCTATATTTCCATTTGTCTTCGGCGGAATCTTTTGTATGTTGCATCTAATTGCATCCCATGTCGCTTTTATCTTATTGTTTGACGAATTTATTTTTGTTTGAAAATACTTATTCTTAGCCGTATGTATTATTCCTCTTAGCACCCTTGCGAGAAGTATCAGAGACCTTTTATTCCTACATGATATCTTTATACCTCCAGTGAGCCAGCCTCGATCTGATCTGTGCAATCCAACTTTTTTAGACTGGAAAGCCTGTGTGAAGCATCTACCCAGAATGGAATGGAACATGTTGAAGGCCGAGTTAACATCCTTCTCAATATATATTGAATTCCAATTCTCATTCCGAAGTAGATTAGTGAATCTGCTGCCGTTCCTCTCACTGTAAATCCTAATAGTCTTCGACAACTGTGAGTCTACCCTCCGCCCACAAGACAGGCTGATCAGTTGTGCGCTATGGTCGGAACCAAGACCAAGATCATTGTTTATTATTTCTAGGATTTCATCTTTATTTTTTACAAGGAAGTTGTCTAGGATCGATGGCGGGCCATTCTTGATTCTTGTTGTCGAATCGATGATGGCTGTGAACTGAAAGCAGTCATACAGCCGTCCAAAAGCAGTCTTTGCAGGATTTTCATTTTCAAAATGTATATTGAAGTCGCCGCAGATATAAACTCTGTACCTGGGAAATAAAGAAGACAGCTCATCGTTTAGATTGAAAAAACTTTCAAGAAAACCATCAAAATTTCCACTAGCCGACCTGTAGATAGCGACTACAATTATTATTCCTATTTGCCTACATATATCCGCTGCATGCTCGAAGTCGATCTCTCTGGACTTAACTGTGAGAACAAGTGTGTCTGTTTGTATTGATGGTTTTGTAAATATCATCACGCCTCCACGAATATGATCTTCCCGACAGAACAAGGCAGCTTGGTGGTAATCTGGTAGGATTGCACTATGTTCCTGGTTCTTCGTAAACCAGTGTTCTGTAATGCAGATTATGTGCACTTCCGAAGATTATTCACTTAAAAGTATTCCAAGATTATCCTGTTTAGTTACCATACCTTGGATGTTGTGGTGGAGAATTCGCAGTACGTTCTGCTTTTGAGATACTTGCCGTTTAGTAACGGTGTGCGATGGTGTTGCCAATCTTGAAGGTGAGCAAGTTATGACTGAGCTTTCCTCCTGTGGTATATTGTGGCGGTGGGGTGGTTTGTCGCTGCAGCGGTCAGCCATCCGAACAGCAGCACTATTTCCCTGTAGCTTGGGTCGACCTGCCTCAGAGGCCCATTTTAGACCTTAACAACTTCTCGTATCAACAGATAAAAGAAACTTTTTCAAATATTTTGCTTTGTTTTGATTGGGGTAGGATCGGAAAAAAAAAGACACCAACGGAAGTTTGTTTTTTTTCAAAATTGTCGACGTTTCGCAAAATTTATTTGCATCCTCAGGACACTACAAAAGACGTGAAAAATTTAATAAATAAATAAATAAATAAAAGGTGGACATTAGGAACATACTGACTACCACTTACATTTAAAAATTAACTTTCCTTGTCATTAAAATAATTGTATCACAGATCTTATAGCTATTACAAAAGTTTTTTTGTCTTTGGAACATCATCATTATATTATGTAAATTACGGAATTCAAAAAACACACAAGCTGTAACACGTTAAAATAAAAATAAAAAGACAAACACTGTAGACATAACATTTAAAATTATCAAGAACAAAAACAGAAATATTAAAACTGGTAACTCTAAAGTTATTGTTGTTACTTTTTTTTTTTCTTAAATTAAAATCAGGTAGTACCTATAATCAATGCATGCCGGTACCAAACTACACTGAAATGGTGCCGCTATAAGCTAGGGAAAAAAAACCAAAAACACACAGGAATTCATGAAAGAAAGAGAACGAGAACAAAAAACAACCAAAATTACAGTGACGTTATTTTATTTTATTAATAATATTGAAATATGACGTACTCAGATTTTCTACATCAGTTCGTTTGTTTACGCAACTTTTATTTTTCTGAATCTCGATCATTTCTGCAACCATTTTTTTTTTATAATTAGATTGTGTTTGTAAGATGGTTACATTGTCAAAATCAAAATTATGCCCAGTTTGTAACTTCCACTAAGGCTGTTGGATTAGATTTTAAAAGATAGTTCTTTTGGTCATTTTTGTGCTCTTTCACTCTTTGTTGTAAGTATCTACCAGTCTGTCCAACATAGCTCTTACTGCATTGGGAGCAAGGAATATTATAAACTACGTTTGATTTTAGTTCTTTCCTTGTGCTAGATTTTAGATTCGAAAAGAATCGGTTTTTAATTGTATTTTGGCATTTAAATGCAATTTTAAGTTTTTCTTTCTTTTTAGTAACTTTACCTCGAAATGCGCCTTGTATTTGTTCAGGCAAAGTTTTAATATAGGGTAGTTTGCAATAAATTTCCAATTCTTTTTATTTTGTGGTTTTTACTGCATTACATTGATTAAGAATTTTTTTTTTTGGATCGACAACGCTCTAATTGGATTTTTCAAATATATTTCAAAGATTTATTCTATATTTGTCACTTTCGCAAAAATAATAAACTTTTCCGTTGATTGTTTGTTTATTTTTAATAGTTTTGATGAGGTCGAAAAATATCACGCGCTTGATTACATTGTCAAAATACGACCAGGCTATACCCGATTTTTAAACTTCCACTAATAAAGGCAGGCACTAACACTATTAGTGCCGGCGTTAAGTCTGATAGTTTCTGCGCATGCGTAAATGTCAAAAGTAAGTGTCAAAATACTGCCCAGCACTATTAACGCCTGGCCTTATAGAATCTCCAATATCTCTCGATTTTTATTTAGGTATTCAATTACATATTAGCAAAGGTGAAGTAGTCCATATCTAATCAAAACTCGAAACATCTCTTTATAAAGTATGTAATTCAATGGTAGATTTGAAAAAAAATATACAGGGTGTTCTGAAACTATTGTGCCAAAAATTGAGGAAAGATAGATCTCGCCAAGATAAACGTTTTTTACTTATAAACCCATAGGCGCATGCGCTTTGGTTAGGTGTTAATAGCACATTACAGTCCGCACTGTGGTAGCCACCTTGCACACGGAGAACCGTGTTTGAATAAGCAGAACCTGTGTTATTAAATAATACAGAATCCAAAGAATGCTTGCAGTATTTTTTTAAAATAATGATTCACATCAAAAGATGCTCAAAACTACGACCACCCGCCTCAATGCATGTGTAACAGCGTTTTAGCAGAAATATCGAGTAGATTTCTGCAGGAAACCCTTCCCGAAACTGTTTCCCTGTATGCCAGACAAAACATAGGGTACCAACACGACAGACCACCACCACATTACTTGTTAGCCTTGAGGGAACATCTCAACGAAACATCTGGAAAGAGTGATTGTTAGGGGGCATGGACTCCACGTTCACCAGACCTGACGGAATGCGACTTTTTCTATGGGGACATATGAAAGCTCTTGTTTACGACACTCCAGTTGAAACAGCTAGAGGAAATTAGTAGGAAGGATTGTTGCAGCAGCTGCTGAAATTCTCGAAACACCATGAATTTTTCAACGTGTTCAGGAGGCTATGCTACGGTGCTCTCACGCACGTATGGAGGTGGGTGGTCGTAGCTTTGAGCATCTTTTGCTGTGAATCATTGTTTTTAGTAAATACTGCAAGCATTCCTTGGGTTTTGCATCATTTAATAAAACAGTTTCTGCTTGAAACACTTTTCTCCGTGTCTAAGGTGGCTACCACAGCGCGACCTGTAATGTTCTATTATCACATAACCAAAGCGCATGCGCCTATGTGTTTATAAGTAAAAAACGTTTTTGGCGCGATCTATCATCCCTTAATTTTTGGCACAATAGTTTCGGAACACCCTGTATAATAGGTACCTACATAGCCATAGGTATTTTTTGCAGATAAATAGAACATTTCCATACGCATTATGAAAAAACCTCTAGTGTTTCAGCGAGGGAAAAGTAACCAATATGGCTTTTCTAATAAGTATAAATAAACATCTTATTATTGTACCGTATTTGAATCCTTGTAATAATTTAAAATCAGATTGATAAAAATAATGAGAATTCTATAGGTAATTTATCAGTACCTACCTATGTGAATATTTTATCTCTAGTGCCTAACACTTAAAGTTAATTTTTCTTACTATAAAAAATATAAAATAAGTCACAACAAAAACTTTGGGGAACTAAGAAACTAACTAAGAACTGAGAAACCTCGAAAATGTTTCTGAAAATATTTACCATTGTTTGCTTCGCAACTCTTGTAACTTTCGGTAAGTATAAATTATGAAACGCCACAAAATAGAAAATTTTCTTGTGTGAATTGATTTCAGTTCATTCCGACGACGATTTGCTAACCCTAACTTGCCACTCATGTTTGTCATTCGACCAAGAACCAACTACGGCCGGCTGTTCTTACATGAACTGTACCGATTTGGCTGCTACAGAAAATTTTCCCGTTCAATATGCTGTTTGTGTAAAAACAAAAATACAATATCGTAAGTAGAAATCATTTACCTATTAGTCTTTTAAAACAAATTATATCTCCTATAAATAAACAGGGTGACCTATAAACATTTGAAGTTTTGTTAAATAAAGTGTATTAAGGTGTAATGCTGACACTTATTTTAAGTCTGTATAAAAGATGACAAGGAGAAAAACTAAGAACTGTGAACTAAAGATTTAAAAATTATAAAAATTATTGAAGAAATTTCAGAAAATCATAACTATTCACGTCTTTAACTTTCCATGATCTGTGGCCTATACGCTAAACTATTACCTACTTATTGTTTTATCACTGATAAAAAGGAAACATTAAATAAGCATTCGATTCCATTACAAGTAGAAAGTAATTTCAATTGATTGCCTCCATCGCTTTCGAGAATACTTCCTTTTTCCGTCAACAGTTTGCTTTTCTGTTCTGCTGACGTTTGGATATCCTACTGACAACTGCGCCAACGATCTTGATACTCAAACCAACACAACACATATTTAACAATACTCAATTATCAACTAGCTACTTAGGTTTGCCTACCTACTTACAAAATTTATCATATATCTACTAATTAAAATTATGGAGTCCGCATAGAAAGTGGATACCTAAGTCTTGGTATAATGAAGGCTTCTTCGAATTCATTTGCAAAATATGACGTTGATGTGTAGTTTGAGAAGGCACGTGGTACTGCTTGATCGTACATTCGAATATAAATGCTTATTTTTTCCAACATTGGGTATGAAATAATACATCTTTTTTTTTTCAGAGACTTCAATCGTCTACCAAGCATCCTGTGAGTATCAAATACTAACCTTACAAGACCAAAAATATTGCGCAGATTTGGAAGTCACTGATGTTCCTGGAATGAAGTTTTTAGAATGCAAGTCATGCCGTAACAACCTTTGTAACTCATACTAAACTAGTTAAAAATAAACCAATTCAATCATATCAGTCAATACGCTTTCATTTCGTACCCTATGCATTCAAGCATTATAAACAAGAGAGAGGGTAACTTTTACCTTTGGTTTTGCCCCCTTCTTAAAGTAACAATAAAGGAAAATTACAATTCACCCACCACCACAGTCTTTTCGCATGCAATGAGGCAAAGCTAAGGGTCATTTACTTTGGGTTAGTAGTAGTGGGTGTTCAATATTTGTCGCGGGCGCAGTCCAGTTTTACAGTTTGTTGGTCCTCTCTATGGTTGGTTTAACATGAATTGAATTGTTCATTTAGAGGTGAGAATTTGTGTGTTTATTCTCACAATATTCCAACTATAGCACTTTTCTGATTTATTATTATTAGGATAACGCGTTTTCAAAAAATTGGTCACCTAAATAAAACTTCCATAACTCCTTATATTTTTACATTTTACAACAGTATCAAATACTGTAGCTTTTGTTAATATTTCTCAAGAAGGCCGATTTACCAACGAAATTTAAATGAAGACAAAACTTTTCGAGATTTTTTCAACCAAAAGTAACGGTTTCTCATTTTTAAAATTTTCGTGGATTACTTATATCGACCCTCTTAACGCATTTTGCAGACATTACAAAACAATTTTGTGAACATTTCTAAAGTTCTTTAGAAAACTCAACCTAACATAATAAGATACTTACCTATATAGTTGTTAAATGTACGCTGTACTTAATTAGAACTTATATACAACTAAAGCGACACCTCAGTCACAGATATTTTAGTTGAATTCTTACTACCCAAAACATTGCGATTCTGACTTGGTTTGAAAGTTTGAACTTTGAAGAGATGAAATGAAAATGATGAGACGCCACTAGGAGCGCCTTCCGAAAAAGTCATTATAATGTACCTAATGGTTAAAACAAAATATATTTTTGCATCGCATAAGTATTCCGTCACAACGAATCCATTTGGTTTTTGGTTCTTCAATCTTCTCTTGACTGCAGATAAAAGTCAGTAGACACGTTCTGACACTGAATGAAGTAGATAATGGAAGTCCAAGGTTTTTGATTTATTGAAACATCAAATAAGTAAAGATGGTTTTGTTGTTTCATCACCTACTCGTTATAAAGATTTCGACTTCGTCGTTATAGTGGAGTCGGTTTTTGAAGTACGTCGATGTTTTGTTATTCTCTTCTCATTAGGTACACTGAAAAAAATGCTAGTCTTGAACCAAAGTAGTCAGCTCTCTTGATAAGGAATTATTAGCGACAAGAGAAAATATTTTCATATAAAAGAATATCTATTGCTTGAAGAAAAATGTTCTGAGTTCAAGTAAAATTGAAAAAACCCAAAAATTCTCTTGACTGTTCCTTTCTTCAACCAAGTTCAATTTATGTTCTCTCAAGAGCTATGGAAATTATAGATAGGGAAGCTATTTGTTCAAGAGACATTACATTTATTCCAATTGTCTGAAAATCTTGTTGTTCAGAACCAAAATACAACGCGAAGGGAATTATGAGAAAGAAGTGGTGCAGGTGAACGATTGACGAAAGCGACCTCTCCACGCCAGTACTCTTCTGAGTTTCGTTCCGTAAATAGGTCGTTTGTGCGAAAAAAAAATCTAAATCTGCCGGTCGGGATAAATATTTTATTGAAATGAAGTTGAATTGCAATAGTTACTTAATTTTCAAAAACTATCCAATATAAGTATATCGATCTTCACTAGAAATTACAAGTTGTCTGTTTCTTATCAACTAAAAAAATTAAATTTGCCTAGTTAATTGTTTGGTAATGGACACTCGATGCTATTTGCAATCGATTCTTTGTAGCCTATAGCGGAGTGGGAAGAAGATGAAATAAGAAGAAATAAGAAAATTATTGACTTCCTACACTTTGCTATTTAGATACAGAATTGTCAATGGCACCAGAGTGTCCTCAAAATAATTGACAAATTTTATTAATTTTTACTGCTATATACAGATAACGTATAACTTCTGTGAAGATCGGAATTCAATCAAAGCAAGTAATCTTTCAACTGAGCAACATGAAGTTTGACTTAAAAGACAAATATCTTCCGAAAAGATATTTTGGCTCTTCCCTCAAAATCTCTTTTACATGTTGGGTTTGAACCAAGAGAGTAATAGCTTTGAACGAAAAGAATAAAATCTTGCCTGAAGTAATTTCAGACAATCTATAGGAAGAGAGTTAATGCTCAATCAAGAAACATCGCTCTTGGACCTATTCAAAAGCGCGAATCTTTTGAATGAAAGTCATATTCATTTCGTTAAAGAGATCCTTTTTTCAGTGTACCTCCAATTCCTTTTCTAGCTCAAACAAACACTTTCTCATTTTAAACTATTGATTTTATATTGATACGCTAGGGACGCGCTAAAGTAGGTACAATTTCTTGTTCGTTTTTTGTAAAAGCACACCGGCAAAATTAGGGGAACGAACAAAATTTACACCGAACCCTCCGCTCGCGAACATTTCCATTTTTATTCACTCTGATATTTACATTATTATAGAAAAGACAGAGTTAAGAAAAGGTGGATCTCAATTTTCTACACGTCGATATACAAATTGGATACGAATATGCATTTGTCGTTTTCCATACCTTCAAGTCGTATGTGTGAATTTTTACTTCAAGCTAAAAATTGCTCACCGTTTTACCTCTTACCCATCAGTTTATTGTGGAAAGAATGCTCATATACAAATATACAGAAGTGATCAAAAAGTCCCTTTCATGTTTTCCATTTGGTGAAATGTTATTTATCCAAACCAGAGGCGGCGCGTGCTCTCAAAAAGAGGGGGGGCTAAAATAGTCCGCAGGCGCTGGCGGAGGCGAAACATTTTTCCGGGTGCCACGCCCAAAAACTAGGGCTCGGAATTGTATTCGAATAATTCGAATATTCGACTATTCGACTATTCTAAATTCGACTTTTTTGTTAGTTAGTAAATTCGACTATTCGAATATTCGACTATTCAAATATTCGAATATTCGACTATTCGAGTATTTGACTATTCGAATATTCGACTATTCGAATATTCGATTATTTGAATATTCGACTATTCGATTATTCGACTATGTATTTGAATATTGGACTATTTAACAATGCAATTACTCACCCTATACATTACAAATTTGAATAAAATAATGTTTAGATTTTCAATAGTCACCTAAACGACTATTCCGGTAAGGTACCGGTATTTAATTAAAAATAGACCACTACTAACAGTACGACAAAGTACAAACTAACTAATATAAATCATTATCGGAATATTTGACCATTGGAATATTAGACTATTCGAATATTCGACTTTTTGACTACATATTCGAATATTCGACTATTCGTATATTTGACTATTCGGATATTCGACTATTCGAATATTCGACTATTCAGTATTCGAATAGGTATTCGAATATTCGATTATTCGAATTATTCAACTATTCGAATAAAATACCAAACGACTATTCGAATACTTGAATCTTAGAAATTCCGAGCCCTACCAAAAACTATTATTTTGAGCCTTCAAAATACCTTCAAACACATTTCCTTTTATTTGACATAGAAAATTTTTGGATTACTTATTTCCCTCAATCGTCAATTATTTGTAAGAAAGATAAACAAATTAAGAGACAAACACTCTTTATTAAGTTCTTTATAGTTTCTCAATAGCGAGTCACCTCCGGGCAGGTCTTAACTCCAGGGTGAGCGTGTCCAGTCGAATGTTTACCCTGGAGTTATGCTTAACACGGGGGTAACTTGCTTTTGAGAAACCGGCCCAAAGGGGACAGAAGAAAACTAAACTAGGGCTAGTTTCTCAATATCGAGTCACCCCCGGGTTAAACATATAACTCCAGGGTAAACATAGCAACTGGACACGCTTACCGTGGAGTTAAAGCCAACCCGGAGGTGACTCGCTATTAGTTGTATTCCTTTCACACCTAGGAGGAGCTCCGGAACAGCTCCGGGGCTTCACGCGCTTATTCCTTTCGAACAGTGTTTGTTGCACCACGCATCTGTTCCCTGCAAATCGGGGGCTACTAAACACCGGAGCGAGTAGCTCGAGTGTTTCAAACTCTTGAAAGGAATACAACTATTGAGAAACCGGCCCATAATAGAATAACAAACAGCCTTTCCAAGTAACAACGAACAAGAAATATGTCATTTTCATAATAAGAATCACAAGTCGACGTTTATTTTTTGCCGGCGACTTTGACTGTAGCTGGAATTCAGGAATTTTTGTTAATCTGTATTTTTTTTGAAATTATGAGAGAAAAATGTCATGTATGTAGGTATAACAAAAAAAGTAGGGGGGCTCGAGCCCCCCCGTGGCCCCCGGACGCGCCGCCTCTGATCTAAACTAAAGTCTGTTTTTTGTTTTAAAGATAATTCCCCAACTGAAAAATTTAGCAACTATGTTGGCAACACAAGCCTTTTCGCCTTTTCTACACAAAAAATTTGAAAGCATTGACAATTTTACATTGTATTGCCAGCATAATGTCATTTTGTCCTTTATCTTAAAAAAAAAACAGACTTTAAACTCTCCCTTCACACTTAACCAAGGCTTAGGACTTTTCCAATATATCAATATATCCTTCAACAAACCTCGCCACATCAAGGACTTCGCGCCAGCAAGTGGGACACAGGGAGGAGGAAAACTTTGAAAAATCATATCCCAAATTCTATTATAGATAGGAATCGATAGGAAGCTGAATTTTCAGCTATTCTTAGCTTAGTAGAGGACTACAATCCCTGAGAAAAAGCTCATTTAGCGTCCAGGGCTCGGAATCGTATGCGAATATTTGAATAGTCGAATATTTGTAATTCGAATAATTTTCATGATCCATTATTCGAATAGTCGACTATTCTAATAATATTTGAAGAGTTGAATACTTTGGTGGATTCGAATGATTTTTGTAGTTGATATTATCCGAATTGTCGACTCGATTTGATTGGCAACACGGCGACAAGACGCTTATTCAGATTCCAGGGATAGGTACACTTCGCCTGGTTTGGCAGAGTATAATAAACATAATAATACATGTTCATGTTCAAAGCTTGAAATCGTATTCGAATTATTCATTTTTCAAATAGTCCACTATTCAGCTAGTGACTAGTCGGCTAGTCGAATAGTTCAATAATTATTCGACTACCTATTCAAATAGATTCGAATATTCGAACTGCAAATTAAACGACTATTCGAATTCACAAATTTTGAAACTCCTAGGCCTGATTAGACTTATAGTTTATAGTTTCTGAGATAAAATCGCGATAAAGAATGATGTGGAGTGAATTTTTAGATTTTTCAAGTTTCC